TCCAAACATAAATAAAGATCAAGCCAACATAAATAACTAAAAAGGCCAATAATTGGTTGGGTAAAATTGGGTTAAGTTTAAATTTTATTGAATTGGATTTGGGTTTGAAGGTTGAATTAAATTTAAAATAAAATTAATTTACATATTTTTTTAATTTTTCGCAGGGATGGGGATCCCCAAGGGGCCCCACAGGGCAGGAAAAATTCCCCCCGAATTTTTGCGGGGAGAAAATGTCCTCCGTCCCCACCCCACAGGGAGGAATATTCCTCCCCGCCCCGTCCCCATGGTGGGGATCCTCGCGGGGCGGCAAATTGCCATCTGGTGTCATGGTTGCCAGTCAAGAGGGAAGGTTTGTGGTGAAACTGTCCATTACCTGACTTGTCAATGCGTTCAGAACCAGCAAGATCTACAACAACTAGCTTGCCCTTCCGAATAATGGGAGGCTTAAGAGATTTAACCATATTGGAACTGTTACCATTTTCACCTGATAGACCTTGTTCTCTTCCCTTGACAGATCTCTTGACCTGAACCTGGAGCACTAAAGCTATCAATTGATGCACTGCTAAGTTAAATGCACAGCAGGCATGACTGCTGGTAAGTTCATGAGTGCAAGAATAATTAATTTAATTTATTTACCATCAAGATAGCATGACTACGAGAAGATTCTGTATTCAATCTTGTGTTGGCAGCAAAGCGATGAGCTTCTCCTAATTGTAATAATTCCAAAAAACTCTGCTGATCTCTTATTTCTACTATGGTAGCCCCAGGGAGTGAAACATCTCCAGTTTTGTGATCTTCCACAATGGAAATGTTATCATTAGTAGGATCAAGAAGATCCTGTATAGTTTCCATATAGAGCTGCACATGTTATCAAAGAAACGAAATATAAGGCAGAGTGGAAAGTTTGTAAATTTGGAGAAATTCCTAATATAAATTCAAAATCAGAATAAGAAATCTAGAAATCAAGATATGTTGTAATTGTAAAGGTCATTAACCTGCAGATAGGAAACCGAGATTGAATCATTATCGAGAGAAATATCTGCTAAAATATCCTCCATTGCACGGACCATTATTCCACGGTCAGCTGTATCTTCCTCTCCAAGTTGTCCAAGAGTGTATGTCTTACCAGTACCAGTCTGTCCATATGCCATGACTGTCCCATTGTAACCATCCAAAACACTCTATAAAAGCAAAAAGTTATTATTGCACCAAAAGGCTGCACCTGGAACTATGTCATACAATAATAAAATGAAACCATAGAGATAAGAGAAGAACTGAAATGAGCATTTCCCATATCCCAAAATAAGATGACCAACACTATGTTCAACTTTACTCTATGTATAAAAAATAAATAAATAATGAAAAAAAAAAACCATGAATCATTGTTATGCCAGCGGACAAACCTCCACAACAGGCTTTGCAACAACTTCATAAACACGCTTTTGTGATGCAAACTCGGTGAGAACTTCATCAAACTCATAAGTGTCTGAATCCCAATTGTTTTTCCGAAGTTTTAACCTTTTAACCTGAATTAAAGGAATCAAAAGTATGACAAAAATACAGATGAATAAATGAAAAGTATTACAAAATTAAGCATGGATGGAATTATAACTGAACCAAGCTAAACCATGCATCATAATATGATTCATTTATCTACTAAAAGCTCAAAACAATCAAAGTTTCATCAAGACACCTCTGGCTGCAATTCTACACAATCAGCAAAATCAGCATCAGCCACCAACTCCTCAGCATTACGAGGGCGCAATCTTACTGCAACTCGAACTCTCCCAGGAACTGTACAGGACAGAAGCATCAAATCAACAACTCAAAACTACAATATGAATACCTCCCATGAAGAAGAGGTATACACTAAAAACTTGTTGTATTGGTCCAGGACTATGCAATTGACTTACTATATGATGATTCCACTTTTCTTCACAAAGCCTAAACCCTCTACTAATTTAACAATGGCAGCCACAGTAAAGAAACAACCAAATATACTTCATTTTGATTAGCTATATACCATTTTACTTTAATTAGCAAAAATAGAGAAAATTTCTCCCACCCATCTTTCCCAGAGCAAAATTAGAAAGAAAGAAAAGAAGGGAAAACACCTCCAAAATGTAAAATCAAACAATGCATCTCCTTAAAAAAAAAAAAAATCCCAAAATCAGAACTGACGTAACAAAGTAAAACATAACAAACGGGAAAAAGCAAAAAATGAGTGGAGGTCCGGAGGAGCAGGCGGAGATCTTAAGCAAACTGACCTCCAGCGTCATCTTTGGCGGCGGCTCCGGTTGAGCCGGCAAGGGCGCCAGGGCTGCTCTTGCGGAGGCCAGAAGAAGCAGCAGCAGAAGGCGGCTTGTTTCTCAATGCAGCCTTTGTTGAAGGATTTGAGTTCACAGAGAAGGGTCTATCTGCTGCTGTTGCCTTGAGAGAACCCCTGTTAGTTCCATTCTTGTAATTTCCAAAGCTCCCAGTAGCCATTTCACGAAAACAGAAAAACTCAAGACACAGATTGTCGCTCTTACATTCCAGCCTCTGGAAGGAATGAGTGTTGATGCTGCCCCCCTCTTTTCCTTCGTTTGGTTTGGAGGGGAGAGAAAGAGAAAATTGAGCGTTGAAAAACACAAAAAGGTTTTACAGAGCAATAAAGTGTGTTTGTTTGTTGAGAGCAGCCAAGAGGAGAGTGGAGAGGACCAGAACGTGACTCAGATAAAACCGCGGCGAGTTCTTTCCTATATTTACCAAAGCACCCTTGAAAATTTCAAAAAAGGACGTCGACGCTCAACGTGGCCGGAGACGGTGCCTTAATGCGACACATAGTGTAATAGTGCCTTGTGTATCTCTAAATGACGATTCTGACCTGAGTCCTACACTGCTCAACCGCTCCCTTCCGATGGATTTTCTGAATAATAGTAAAACAGTATATAAACAAAATGCACCGTAATTTTAAAATGGTTAAAACCCCATTTTGGTCCTTAAACTTAAAAAATCTATGATTTAATTCTACTGTTTATCATTTTTACCTCGATTTGATCCTTTCGTTAATTTTTCATGCTAATTGACCGACGAAAACAGAAAAAACATTATGTGTCACACAAAAATTAATAAGTTAGCAAAAATAAATGACATGATCATTCCAACTCATCCACCAAAAAAAATTTTTTTTCGTTCCTCTCTTTCTTCTTCCCTTTCTTCAACTTCTACAAACCCTAACATTTCAACTAATCTCTAATATCTCAACCAATCTATTTATCTCAACCAATTTCTACCTTTGTTGGGTTCATCATCATTATCATCAAGCAACAGAAAACACAAAAAAA